CGTAAAAAGACGGTATAAGTCATTATAATCCGTAATTATGTCCCCATTGGATGCAACAAATGCCTCGTTTATAATGTGTTTTAATGTTTTTGTCCTCGTCGCTCCGGCCGGACACGGCATCAACAGTATGTGAGGGGCGTAACATTTCCGTCACACGCTTGAGGTATTCGGCCAATCACAATGCATTGGATAGCTGGCCAATCAGAGCACACCTCGCTTTTCAGACCGATGAGCTTTGTAAAAATCGACGCGTTTCAGAAAGGCGGGGCATAGAGGAGAAACAATAATGTACAGTATGTGGAAAATAATGTTTTTTTTTAACCTTAAACCGCATAAACATTTCATTACACCAAATACACAAACTAATGTTCTTTTTTTAGCAACATCATATGACCCCTTTAACAACAGTAAATTGTCAATAAAAAACAACAACAAATAAATAACATGAAAAGGGTTTTTAGAAGTTCATTTTTTGTCCATTATAATGATGCCTTCATTATTCTTAATGCAAACCCTCCCAGATGAGAACTTTGTTTCTTGCCTCCCATTTGTGTAGACAGTTTTAACCGTTCCATCCGGGTACATCCTTCGCTTGTACTGTGAAGTATGAATCTCTCTCTGCCCATTAGCAAACTCCACCATCTTTTCCCCATGTCTGTGGAAACAGTGTGTAAGGGAGTAAATAAGAAGAAGAAAAGAAACAAACAAACAGGACCTTTCCTGACATTAATCTTACTGTGATATCTTGACAACAGTTCCATCTGGAAAAATGCTCTCCTCTCGACCATCGCAGTGGAGAATCTTAACCGTGCCATCTGGGAAGGATATTTCCCTTGTACCATCAGGATGATGTTTTTCTAGGAAAAAGACATTTAAAATTCCAAATTCACTGAAACTTTCTGTAAATTTCACAAATAATTACAAAGAAATCAAGCTTTACAAAGAAAGCAAGTAACATACTATAATGATATAGGTTTTATTTAGAACTTAGAAAATTATTATAACGTGTATGTCAACAAAAGAATGTCTTCCACATTATTTTTCTAACCTCTTTGGTTGTTTGGAAACTGTACAACCTCCAATCCAGATGGATAAGTTGAGTGTGTTGTCTGAGCCTCACAATGGTAGTATATCTAAATGTAAAGCGGTAAAATTGTTAACTGCGAAATTTAAAAGAGCTTAATTGTTCATTTAACCCTCAGGTTGAGTTTCTGTCATTTTGACCTAGTTAATGCATTGAACTAAAACTTACTAACTCTGCTCACACATGGGTATAAAATCTTCTCGTTTTTTTTTTTTTAATAAAATTGATGACCCCCCCCCCGTTACACTTGTGATCAAAAATGACTGGCCTTATAAATTTCTTGTTACACCAAATGCTGGATTCAATCTTTCTAGCAACTTTTCATTCGATTCACACAGGTTTTGTATTTATTTTTGGAACTGATTGATCATAGTCCCCATTGATTTGAGCTTATTAACCTCAGTTTTTTTAGTCAACATTGCCAAAATTATCCACAAAAAATCTGAGCATAAGCTCAGACCAATGAGGCAGACGATCAGTCAGTTCTAAAAAGAGATATAAAACCTTTGCTAACTGAAAGAAAACATGTTGATAAAAAGATTGAATCCAAACAATCAATGATCAAAAATCATTTAAAAATCAACAAAAGAATTCCTTAAAAAAAACAACAACTACATTTGTAATTTGTGGTGCTTTGGTATAACTGCTAAAAAAGAACTGAAAAAAGGAGAAATTATTTAATCTGCACCTAAAACCGTACAGAAACTGGGAACCAAAATATAAAATGAAATAAAAACTGTAATAATCCTGATCTGAAGACTTATTTAAAGAATCCAAATGCAGGAACAGACAAAAAGATTTAGAATCATGAGACAAAAACCAAAAGGTTTGGGCCTGTAGGAACATGTTCGTGTTCTGGTGGATGACCACAAAATAATTTGTGAATTTTTAAATGTTGCAATACACCAGTAACTGTGGGAACAGACTTGATAAGACTTCCTTATTCACTCGTGATACACACCACAGTCCCGTCAGCCAGCGTGCGTTTAACATCACCATTGAAGAACGTAACAGTGACTGACTTATCAACACCAATCTCTTTCTTCGTTCCATTGCGGAATGTGATCACACGACATCCGTTCCAAAAAAGACGCTCTACCTAATGAAAAGTAGAGCAATTTGAAAAAGTACTGCAAGCTTTGTGTAATAAAAATTTCTAATTGCAAAACACCTTCATTACCCTTCCATCCGAATAGCGGGTTTCCTCATGTACTTTGTCTTTTCTGGCCTGTGATGCCATTTGTGTATCATTGCAGTCAGTATGATGATAAAACAAACTTCCCTGTGGACAAAAGTGGCATTATGATACTATTGTAACAAATCAGCTCATGGGAAATATGAATAATTAATCATAACTAGTTATAATTAATTATGAATATTTTAGATCCGCTGTAGATATTTACTTATATATTGTGTGTTTGAGTGGTGCAGACGCTACACTATGATGCGTTGTACATTTCATAATAGAAACTGGGTCAGACTATTCTGTCATAATGAGTGATACATTGGGATAAAACACTGTACAAGTGTGTGTCATAACTTTATGCTCTAATTCTGTGTGTACTGATATTGGCTTACTGCATCAGGTGAAATATCCCTTAAGAGAAATACCTTTCTGCCTTGTGTAATCATGGCATTGTTCAGTGGACTGTCAATGGAAAGTGCAGGATTCTTTCCTTTTTGGAAAAACATAACACACAAGACATGGCAAGCTGTACACTGTACATCTAATATGTGATGACAACTTGTATGTTGATTTATAGGAGATGAAGCACGAGAGGACATACTTACTCAAAGAGTTGTCTGTGCATTCTGTTAGCCTATTAGCTTTGGTAAAAGAACGTCCATTTGACTGGCCATTCAAGGAGAAGAAAAACCAGATGCTTTCAATAAAATGCAAAGGTATCACTGCACAAAAATGTATCAGTATTTCTGTTCTGTTTTCCTTAAAACAAGAACATGTTTACTACAAAACAGGACAGAAGTACTGATTAAAGGGGTCATATGATGCTATTTTAAAGATAATTATTTTGTGTATTTGGTGTAACAGAATATGTTGACATGCTTTAATGTTCAAAAAACATATTTTTCAAATACTGTACATTATTGTAGGTCCTCTATGCCCCGCCTTTCTCAAACACGTCGTTTTCAACAAAGCCCCCTCCTTTGACAAGCACAGTCTGCTCTGATTGGCCAGCTGACCCAGCGCATTGTGATTGGCCGAACACCGCAAGCAGACTTTAGTCTTTGCAACTTTACAGATCTTCTTTATGCACCAAGAGCTTGTAACACTCCAAAGAGTAAGGAAAACTTGAAATCGCATCATATGACCCCTTTAAGTACTGATACTTAAGTGGGTCAATAAAAGGCACATAGATTGAATAAGAAAGTGATGCTATACACTGGTCTGGCTAAATGTGCCATTTATATTGAATAGCTCTATGTGTTCATAAATTATAAACAGGGCAAACAATTACAATATAAAATCAGGATTTAACACTTACACTGTATGAAATGGAGATGGGTAGATGCATTACCCATGCATGAATTAATTATAAAGAACCGAGTCAATTATCTGACACTGGGTTTTGAGAGTCACCATGAATTATTTCTGACGAGCTTAAAGGCACTCGAGAACATATTACACACCTCAACGGGTTTACAGGAAATGAGTTTAGCTCAACTAGTTGTATGGGTCCTTACCTAACAAATGACTAAAAATAAAAAAGTACATATTTACTTTAAAGCTACAAAAATATTTTACAGATCAAAAAACAGTTATTGTTTTTGATAATGCACATTAATGATGTTAGCATACTAACATTGTCCTGTTGTGTCCTATGGATGGAGGGTTTGTTAAAGGCCGGAGTTGCGCTCCTTACATGAGGGGTCCTCTGTGGTTCCTCTCTTCTCTTCTCAAACTAAAGTACAACATATGTTATTCATTGAGGCACAGTATTAATAACCACAAAGTCTTTTAATAGATTAAAATCACATACAATAAAAAAAAGTGAACACCATATGCAATATATAAACAGGTTTCTCTTTTCTTTTTTTTTTTTGAGTAAAGATCATAATCTGCAATATGTAATATTCCCTCCATGTTTCAATATTTAATCATTCAAATATGTTCATAATTTTTTTGCCCTGCTTTCCATTTAAAATGTGTTTATATAATTTTAGTGGAAAAATAGTGGTTTAAATTTGCTCTCACTGTGTTGTATGATCCAGGCTGAAGAGCAGAGGAGCCAGCACTCTGGTGCGATCTCTTGTTCACATTGAGCCTACTGTGAAGCTCCTGGTTCTCTCGGGTGAGGGCTTCAACACGGCTCTGGAGGAGACTGTGGGCCTGCGACCAGTGAGACTCCCTTACAATCAACTTCTGCTTCAGAGATGAGATCTGCTGTCTCAGATCCTACATGCACAATGATTTAAACATGAAATATTTTCTGGATGTGTATCCCCATTGAAAAATGTTAAGAACTCGGAAGTAAGCTGTTTTCTGTGAATGTGCGAGACTTCCGGTTCATTAGCCGCTGTAGCGAAATAATGAGAAGAATAACAAAGTGCACGGTAAAACTGTTTGCACTACAAATCAGTGTGTTCAAAAGATAGTACATTAAAATAATATGGTAAGACACACCAGTTTGCAATATCAAGCAGCAAAATTAGCTGTTTTATACATCTAAAAATAGCTGGAAGCGAATGACACCGGAAGCCAGAAGTCAGGAAAAATAAGATGGATAGAACCTTTCCATTGCACAAAAGGTGTTTTAAAGTGTAAAAAGGTTAAATGTTCTTCACACTAAGAACTGTTCAGTGAAAGGTTCTTTGGAGAACCAAAAATCGATCTTGCATGGAATTGCTGTGAAAATAAAAGAAACTTTTTGGAACCTTAAGAAGTTAAGTGGTGATTCTATACAATGTCACTTATGCAGACGTGATGTGAAAAGGAAGAAAACTTCAGTCTAAAATGTGTTGTTGATTCTACCTGAGGTTCATGAAGTTCTTTCTTAAGCCTGAGCAAAGGTCTGCAGCCATCCTCACCATTAAAACCATGCTCTCCCATCTCTTCCCTAAGTCAAATTCATGAATATGTTAAATCGGATATAGAAACTTGAGCTTGAGGACTAGAGTTTCTTTTCAAAATACCAAAAATTTTAAAAATGTGAAAATTTATAATCTTTCTACAAAACCTGAGTGGAGTATGTGGTTGCTCTAGTCCCATGACATGCGTGGTGTCTTCTGGAGTAACTTTGACTTTTGGGAACATCTTTGTGAGGGGTTCAGGAGCAGAAGGTTGTCTAAAGTCACTGTCGGTCCCCCTTTCTTCTGTTTTTTTGGAGCAGTTAGCCATAGACCCCTGTAAGCTCTTGAGTTCAGAATCGCTGATGAAGCTTGAGGAACTGGACGTAGGAGTAGAAGTGCGATGTTCTTCACTGAATCGAGTCTCACTCGGGGCATCACTAGCGTAGTCTCCGTCTGACAAATCCGAACTCTGATCTTTGTGATCTATGTGCCTTGAGAGGTAAAGAGGTAACGGCCGCTGAGACTGAGAGTTGGGTCCGTCCTCACTGGTAGTGCTGTCGCGAGAATCGCTAAGAGCCAGTGACTCCATCACCTCGTCAGTTAGACTGACTTCTTTAGATGTATATCCACTCTGGCTGTAGTTTGTAGTTAGACACTTTTTCTCAGCGATTTTGACAATGTGGTCATTCATTTTTTTAAAACCAACACTTTTTCTACTTTGTGCCAGAGCAGATCCACTTGACTTGCTTCCATTGGTTTTACCATAATTCCTCACGACTCCTACACTGTGCTTACTTTTAAGTGAGATTGCATTGTTATTAGCAGTCAAAGCTTTGAATTTCCCTTTGTTGTTTGATGATAAATCATCATCTTGTAGAGAAACGGTCTTCTTTAGATAGTCTTCCAGGCCCGATCTTTGGTCACTGAGGTTTCCTACACCCTTCAGTCCAGGACTGCTCCTATTTGGCATCTCTTTTTGATGAAATTCAGTGGGACATACCATCTGCTGACTGAACTTCATGTTCAGCATTTGTGGACTAACAGAGCGTCTCCTCTGGAGTCCTTGGGAGCAGTCCTTACCATTCGAAATTCTAGACGCTCCTTCTCCTTTACGAAGGAAATTCTTCTTCTCTGCTCCCCTGATTTGTGTATTAGTCTGTAAAATAGAGAGGATATTGCTAAGAACACACTTAAACTGTGTGAGCTACTTTTTGAATGCTGCTCATACCTGATGCTCATGTTGGAGAATAGTTTGGTCTGTTTTGAGATGTTCTTCAACAAAATCTTCAAATGTTTTTTGCTCTTCTCTCAGTCCTGGTCTAATAGGCCTGTGTTTAAAAGATATTACTTTTATTAAAGGTCCCATATTGTACACCTTTCTAGACCTCAGTTATCATGAAAATCATATAATACCTTTCCTCTGGGTTTGGTGGGAGACTTTGCCTCGATCCGAAAGGGCTAAGAGGACAGTCATCTTGTGCAGGTTCTGAAGACTCTTCTTTAATAGGAGACAAGTGTCTGAGCTCTGCTGATGGTGCAACATCTGCAATGCAAACTGAAATATCATTTAATATTATTACCTAACATATTTGAGGTAACTCGAACTTACAAATGTTATACAATTTATTTTTCCAACATTATGCAAGATATAGTCATGTTATTGTTAAGAATACTAACCTTCTGTAAAAAATGACTTATGCAAATGGAAGGCGTGGCAAATCTTTTAAACGGGTCATGTCCTTTTGCTTAAAAAGGCAATACTTGCCCCTCAGCTACTTTTCTTCACAAAAACCCTTCAGTCTTCTCAGGCCTGTTTGGACAAGCCACTAAATAGTCCTAATATACAAACTAAGGTGTTTCAGACAGAAGATCAATAACCATCACATTTTTTCATGTACATTTGTTATAACTTGCACAGTGAAGTCAACACACCCTACTATTGTACTGCCATAATATGCTCTGTTCTTATGAGATACGATCTTTGCAAATACATAAGACTATGTCTTTAACTGCTTTTTTTAAAGTGTGCATTAGCTTTGTCCATTGTGTCAGCCTTCCTGACATTTAATCTTATCAGTGACGCTCATTGAGTGCTCTATAAAAGATTTAAACATTAGTTGTCTTTGATGACGGCCCCTTTTTTTTTGTCTTTTTCACGGCAGTTCGTGACATCAGGCATTTACTGTAACCTCTCAACAAGTAGAGACTTGAACGCTCCAGCAGAGGAGGTGCTTTGCCTTCAAGTCTGAGCAGCTTTAAAATGCTCTGCTTTGGTAGAACAGACGTTCACAGTTGTGTCGTCTACTTACATTAGAAGTCGTTTTGGGCCCGGAATAAAAAATTGGAGAATATGGACAACTCCACAAACATGGACACCACAGACAAAAACTGTCAGGACAACATCGACCAAAACCGAGCGCTGTACATTTTCTATTCTTCTGTGGTAGTGCTGGAGTTTATCTTGGGTCTCCTGCTGAACATTACAGTTATCCATCTCTTCGTCTTCAAGCTCAAGTTCTGGAAATCGAAGACCATTGACATTTTCCTGTTCAATCTGGTCCTGGCTGATATTTTGTTGCTGATTGGATTGCCCGTAAAGGCTTATAACTTTCAGCAATGCAGTGAACAGAAGGTAGTGTGCAAAGTACAGCTCTTTCTGCAGTTTCTCAACCGAGGAGCCAGCATCGCCTTCCTGACGGTCATCTCCATTTATCGATATTTTAGCGTGGTCCATCCTGGGAAGAGGAAAGTTCTGAGGATTTTGAGACTGTCGCCTCAGATTTCTGTATTCATCTGGGTGCTGCTGGGAATTTTGACCATTCCAGCCATGTTGCAAAGTTTTTTCAGGTGCAACAGCAGTGAAAAAGATGAGCAAATCAGTCCCATTGTTCTACTGAGGGAAATTGTGTTTTTTACTCAGATTTTCATCCCCTTTTTTGTTCTTGTGTATTGCTCAATACGGATTATCAGAAGACTCAAACAGAAGTCGGTGGGCGACAAGACTAAGCTCCGGAGAGCGATGTTCCTCGTCACTTCGGTGGTTTTCGTCTTTGCTGTCTGCTTCTTGCCGTATGCCATAACAAGAGCGGTGCAGCTACATATCAATGGGCTCGTGATGAAAGAGGAAAAAGTTACTGTCGTTAAACTGTACGATGGGCTTGTTTGTCTGTCTTATCTGAACTGTCTGCTGGATCCAATCCTGTACTGCCTGAGCAGCAGTAAATTTAAGAAGTTATACATATCAATGTATCTCCCCTTTCTACTGGAGAAGGAACAACCGGAAAGTTCAGAAGATACTGCAGATGACTGAACTAAGTAAAAAAAAAAAAAAAGAAGATCCTTTGAAAAGGATGTTGGGAGAATTTCAATCAGTTGCTTGCAATTGCATTTTAATACATTTTGAATAGTATATGTGTAGCTGACACAAACAGTATCATGTCCAAGATTTATTTATTTTTTTTAAGTTTATTTTTTTCGTTTTTAAATCAAAGTCTGGAGTTTAGGTTAAAATTGATAGGAATGTATAAATTACAGAAATGTATATTTTAGGCACTGTGACCATTTTAAATCACATTTGTTTTCTGCCTTCTCTAGTTCATTTTAAATGGCCCTGTGGTGTGACAGATGTACAGATAGTCCATGTAATCATTATGAATTCAGCGCATGACCTCATATTATTTTACTATTTAACAATAAATAAAATGATATAAGGTCATGAACGCTGAATGCATAATGACAAAACAATTAGCCATATGCTTTTAAAAATAGTTTTAGATGAAGTAGCATGTCACACTGAAGCATGTCAATTCATTTTTTAATTCACCTCCTGTTTATGTGTCTTGCTTATATTGGACTTCCTGATGGGAGTGATTTACATTTGTAAATGTGACTAATGATTTGTAGTCTGGAAACTAGAAACGCATGATTTAAGACACTTCTCTGTCAGGCACAGAGGATGAAATGTGCAAGATTTCATGTTTTAATTGCATTTCAGAATTTTTTGCATGTGTAATTATGATTTGATTACTGATATGTAGAGAACATGGTATCTCAAAATGAATTTTATTTCCATACTATTGTAAATATAACTTTTTCTAAAGACTATAAAGATAAAGGACCTCCTGATTCCTACCATTGGTGTTATTAGTAGCCAGAGCCTCTGACTCATTCTCAACCTCACCAGAACATGTGGCTTTGGTTGAGCTTTCCTCAAAGGCATTTAAACTCCCAGGTGTCTGGACTTGCCAGGGCGCTAAGAATGTGGGAGATAAAATCTGTCCTGAAAGAAAAAGTAAAGTTCTGTAATGAAGATAAAGAGTGGTGAATTTAGAACTGAAAGCCTAAAGAATGATGATTTTCTCAATAACAAACATCATAAACAACTTTACCTTTAATTAAGCCTGTTATGTAAGAGTTTCTCCAAACGTACCTGGACTGATAAGAGAGAGCAATGCGTTCTGTTCCTGTAAAACCCTCTGCAACTGCTTCACCTGAAGCTGAAGGATCATTTTCTCATTTTGGCCTGGATTCTGTTCAGAAAGAGATATGATCAAGATATAAAATCTAAATCTTTATAGAGATAAAAATAAATAAATAAAGGATCTATACTTTATAAGCTCAATCTATATTAGCTAATAGCTAAGGCGTAGGTTTGATTTTAACATTGGTGGGGATATAACAGCAGACGACACCCCCTCCCGCATCCAACTACCCCAAAATTTTCACATTTATGATAGACTTTTGGCCACAGTTTAATGTAATCTAAAGTTTTTATTTATAGCTATGGTAGCTAACATACTCAATTCATAAAAAGATTAATTATCTTAGCATATTCATCAGACAATAATTACACAATTTTGATTATGAAAAACCAACAACATTACAGCAGCAGTTTTCTTTGGATTGTTTGTCTACTCAAAAGAGAATAGCAAAATATAACTTAATTTGTGTTTCCTGCTAACTAAATTTCACATGCATAAACAAAAATCTGGCTCTAAACCTCTCTTTATTCAAAGCTGATCTAGACAAGTATAAGTAAAATAGCTATCCAAAGCTCTGTTCATCCTAAAAAACCATGACCACAAATTAACCATGGTTTTGCTGCACCAACCATAGTTTAACCATGATATTTGTTGTAAAAAAAAGTTGGTTATACAAATGGTAATCTACACTTTTAGTAATAAAACCATGGTTAAACCATGGAGAGTCTATGTTAGCACATTCATCAGACAATAATTACACAATTTTGATTATGTAAAACTAACAATATTACATCAGAGCACTGGGTGTCTTAATTAGGCTGCATATAATTTTATTTGGTCCCACTTTATATTAAGTGGCCCTCATACCTGTGTACTTACATAGTAACTAGATGTGTACGTAGTATGTAACCACAGTGTAAGTACACATTGGTACATAGTATCTAGAGCTGTAATATTTTTGTTACTACACACATGTAACAACCCTCCGAATGGTTTGTGTAAGTACAAATGTGTAACAGGACACTACATTACATTTACACTACATTTTGTAACAACAATATGTATAAGAGTAACTGGAACAATTTGATCCAGGGGGTGGAGATGGGTAGGTTTAGGGATATGTAAAGTGGGAGGAGTTGGTGCACCACTGTAATACTAGTGTACTTACAAGGTAACTCCTCAGGAACTGTCCACTTAATATAAAGTGTAACATTCTGGACACAAACCACAATTTACATGTAAAGCCTAGCTTACTGGCCGCTGCTGTAACATCAGAGTAATTACATGGTAAATCCATAGGAATTGTTTACTTAATATAAAGTGTAACACTTTCTTTACCAAAAAGTGCTGTTAGTCCTGTTACACATTTGTACTTTCATTACCAAAAAGTGTTGTTACCAATGTCCTGTTACACATTTGTATTTACACATACCATTCAGTGGGTTGTTACATATGTGTAGTTACACAAACATTACAGCTGTAGATACTATGTACCAATGTGTACTTACACTGTGGTTACATACCATGTACACATCTAGTTACTATGTAAGCACACAGGTATTAGGGCCACGTAATATAAAGTGGGACCAACTCACATGGATCCTACTGTTGCTATAGTAACAAACACAACCTTCATGCGCATCTGATTGACAGATAAACCACACACTTATTTCAGTGTTGTTGTTGTTTTATTTTGTAGATATTTCAGCTAACAGTTTTTTTTGTACATTCAGTTTTTGTTATACGTTTTAAAAACTTCGGCTATCTTAAATGTTCTTACTCCGCACCTTTATTAAATGTAAGTCATTGAAAGCGCACAGTTTTCTAGCGTATTTACTTTAACTTCTCAGGTAATATCAATGGTACAACCTATTTCAGATGCGGCCAAAATTACAACAACAGTGGTTACATATACATATATTTAATTGTTTGATCAAAATTATTCCTAGGGACAATTTAGTAGTCGCTGGATATTGGTAGGGACATGTCTTAGTCTCCATACTAAATTCTATGCCCTTGGCTAATAGGGCCATTTACAATATGTGTAGCAACAAAACAATTCCATATTTCTTTAATAAATACAATTATTAGTATTAAACACGGACAGAGATGTATTTGTACTTTTAGGTTTTAATAATTTGTAACTATGTAATAAAACAAAACTTTTAATGTCAGAAAAAACAGAGAAAATGTAACTGACAATTTAACTACATACCGTAAGCTTAGATTTCAGGATTTTTGGGCCAAAATCAGATTTAAAAAAAATGTAATTCCAATTTTGTCAGAAGAGTAATTTGTGTCAAAAATTGTCAATAAACAAACAAATAAATGAAATGATAATAAAAATGAAAAATCTAATGTAAAGATTTACAAGAAAGAAAGAACAAAATGCTGTACCATTACCAAACCACTAATAAAACTCAATACTAACAAAAACTCGAATCGTTTCTTTGTACAGATACAATTTGTGTTTTTCAGAGTCAAAGTCAGGACCATTAAATATCAGAATATTGTTGTCTTTGCACATTTCCTGTTACCTGTAATGTCTCTTTATGTAACAACACCATCTAAAGGTGGTATTAAGACAACAGATACTTTGTAAACGTGGATTCATCTCACACCTACACATTTCAACCTACACATTATTTACTGATGATGCTAAAGAACACATTCAGCATCAATCATGATCACGGACTAATAAACAATAAATGTAAAAAAAAAGAAGCAAAGTCTTGAGACTAACCTCCTGAGGGGATCTTTGAGGCATTATATGTTGGGCAGGTTGGCAGGTGGCTCTGCCCATTTCAGAACTCTGCCGTTCCTCAAACGTCTCTTGACTCACAGACTGAGATGAGAAACCGGGCTCAGATTCACTCATCTGAGGAAGCTGGCAGCTTGGCGGGTTTTCCTCATGATGCTGGACAACAGAGCAGACAGATTGAAGGGTCCCCAAATAGTCCGTCTTCGGACTCAAACTGGTTTCTACCACAGTTCGGTTTTGGGGTATTTCTGCAGACATTGCCCTCAAGGTTGACTGTAGAACCTTGGGGGAAGAGGTTTTTATTTGATTGCTGTTATGAAATCACTATCAGTTATCATTACAGCAGTAGTTAGGGACATATAAATCAAAGTGAAATCAATATAATCCTAACAAATCGTAAGATGTCACAGCCTTGAACAACGGAATATAACTTCATGTAAACACAAAACTGAAACAAATAAGAAAATGTATAATGCAGCCTAATCTGTGCAATTTAAAGTCACCAAAACTACAACTTACCTGGATCAATGTGTTCACATGCGTAGACTTGTGCAGCAATGCACACCGCACAGCCAACAGCTTCAACTGTAGTAGTTATAGTAACTGTAAACAGTGGACGTTGATACCAGATTAAAAAGCCAAACCTTGATTGCTTTCTACAGTTTTGCTGAATGGGGGTAGAGTGGAGAAAACAAGCTTAACTAGTGTATTTTTCTGAGACTGCATTTTTTTCCCCTATTGCACTATTGGCTTATTTTGCTGTCGTTCCCTCCATTTTCCCTTCAGTTCAAATCTTGATTGCATTAGTTTTTCTCATGGTTGCTTGGCTCAGTGTTCACAATTGCAAAATTAGGCTGTTCTGTTTGTGTATTGAGTTAGCGTAGGACGGCTCCTGCCTTCTCAGTAAATAATTAACTTGTTGATTTGTGACATTGATGAGAATATACTTTTTAAAAGGATTGAATTGATATGTTTTGTAATTAATTGTATTATTTTACATGCTGTATTAAAATTATGAAATAAATACACTAATTTATTTTCTGGGTCTCAAGAAACAGCAGATTCTTTAATCAGTTGCTTTATAATTAATGACTTTATCTGCCTGCCCTTTTTTCTCTATATCTCATTGTTTTTAGTGCAATTTTAGTACCAAATTATCTTAATGCAAAGTAAAACCACTAATGTTAATCAAATAAAAAGTCCAACTCTGATAAATCATGTGATCAGAAACACTGATGGACAAACACATCTTGACCTGGTCCATGTCCTTGTTAGGACAATGATTGACGGATGAGTGATGACCCTATGATGTTTGTTGTACTCACATGCTGAAAAGATTGAAATCCTCTCAAAGTCCCTGCCTGTCAATGCTCCGACATGGAGGTTCACAAAGCAGTTCTTTTACTTTGTCTCTTTCTTTTTACAGGTAAGCCAACAGATATTAATTCATAGCGCTTAAATATAAGGCTATTTCTTCTATGCTATACATAATAAAATTAACAGACTAAAACCTATAACTAATAGCGTTTATTAATCTGTATATGACTGTTATGATCATGTTACCTTCAGGTTTCCTCAGGTGCCACAGCCAAAGCACAGGTAAGAAGATCTGGTCATCTGCAAATATAAAGCAAATGTGTTCTTTCAGTTCATGCTTTCATACAAAGAGTACTGTTGATCAAGTTTGAGATCTTTGCATTTTAGAAATATTCTGTAATTCAGTTTGGGTAGGGGCTTACATGGGCTCTAGTTTAGGAAGTTTTGGCCTTGTTTCATCGAGTCTAGGAGAATACAGTAGCACAGTTCACAGAACCTATGAATCTTACTTGATCAACATTGATAAATCAAGTGTTTGTGACTTGAAACTCAACTTATTCCTTTTTTATACCCTTTTCACTTTCTACAGATGTTCTGGAAGCATATATTAAAACGGATGGGGCCTGGATAGTGAAATTGCCTAAAAGTCAATACACTGTGAAAACAGTGGAGGATTGTGCCGTCAAGTGTAACAAAGAGACTTCCTTTACATGCAGGTGCAAGTCAGCCCATAACTAAAACTCTCCAAAAAATATTGTGCTGTACTAGCGCAGACTGATCTGATGTAAATAAGTGATAAGTGATGCTTTATTCTAATCTATAATTGTAAAATGTGTGTTTATATGTGCTTTGCAGGTCCTTTTTGTACATCGAAAAAGACCAGGATTGTGTAACATTACCCGCAAACTCAAAAACTGATCAAATACTGCGAAGAACAAGTGCTGCTCTCTATGAGAAAAAGGGTAAGATTTTATAGCCCAGTCTATTTTATTACTTTACATATTTGAAGGTTTAATAGCAGATGATGGGCCCCCTAAAATCATTTCAGCATGCATTACTATCTTTTAAATTACCTTTAAGTACATTATGAATTATAAGTAGCTGGCTATGCTTTTTCAAAAGTCTACCTGAGTTAATATATAATCTACATTTATCAAAGTGTAGTTTGGTCCATGTCTGTAAACAAAGTGAAAAAGATTATCTAAAAATCTATCGTCCAATGATGGGGTGCTTTTTTTTTTAAGTGCAAATGAATCAAGAACCATCTAGGTTAAACAATGAAAAATGTTTCAGTTTTGGGTGGTTCGAAATATGCCTGATAGATGTCGTCTTAAGCATTCTGAAGGTCAGTGGTTCTCAGCTGGTGCTTCAGGACAAAGATTTTACATTTAAAATCATGTTGTGATCCAACACAGTACCAAAATTATCATTAAAAATTTGACATTAGCTGTGTCAGACCATACAATAGAAAACAAAAACAGATACTTTTTAAAATCCATAAACAGCAGAAGTGTGATTTATAATGTTAGCGCTAGGCTATCACACGGAAGAAGAAACATTGGGCCAAAATACTGAGTTTGTTTCGCCTTACAGCCTCTGACATTGGCATCAATAAATATGGGAAGCATTTTTGTCATCTTTATGTACACTTCTTTGGTCACATTTCAGTATTAGCAATTAGCATCTTTTCCTGCTGTCAGAAAAGACATGAGATCCGTTTTTGTATCACAGACAACTAATCATTTAGTGGGCATTAAGAATGTACAGTAACTACTAATAAGAAAATTGCTACATTATCATCAGTACTATATCAATGTCATTAGTAAATGAAAAGAGCGTATTAGCTTAGAATACAATGAATGTGTTTTTTTTAAGTATGTTGTAATGATTGCATTGAATTCCTTCTTACAGAGTACTTACTGGAATGCGTGAATGGCATTGGCACTGACTACAGAGGGACAAAATCCAAGACAAAATCAGGAAAAACATGTCAGCGATGGGAGGGAACTTTCCCCCATGTGACAAAGTATATGTCTTAATTTGACTTTTTCATGCATGATGCTGCAAAAGAGAAAACAGCTATAGGAAATACAAAAACTACAGTGGTCATCTAATTAACCCCAACTTCCCACAGCATAACGCCAAAGACACATCCAAAAGCTGACTTGGAGTCCAACCTTTGTCGAAACCCGGATGGAGATAAAGGGGGGCCCTGGTGCTACACCACAGATCCAGAGAAACGATGGGAGCACTGCGATATCCAAGACTGCACAGGTACTATTAGCGAACAAACTGCTAAATAGTGGTGGAATATCATACTGATGGGCGAATCTCATGCAGAAATTATCCTCACTATGCCCTGCTCACTCTGAAGAGCATTGAAAGTGAGCACTCTGAAGGAGGCAGGGCATTACTGGTGTCACTGACACTTTTTCGTTTATTCAACTATATCCTGTGAACATCTTTACAGATAAATTTACAGTATTGCAACTTTGTACAAGGGTGCAAAAACAGTTTAGAATTTGTCCCTTGAATCTGCTCTTGAATATCTGCAGAGGAATGTATGCAGTGCAGTGGAGAAAACTACAGAGGCAAGATCTCCACCACTGCGAGTGGATTTACCTGCCAACGCTGGGACTCTCAGAAACCCCAGAACCATGGTTACATCCCTTCAGCGTGAGACATTATCTTTTAAAGCACAAATGGAATATAGTCTATTTTGTGCATATTTTGACTGTGGTTTGTTATTTGTAGCCTTCCTGATAAGTACTTGGAAGAGAACCATTGCAGGAACCCCGATGGAGAGCCCAAGCCCTGGTGCTTTACCACTAGTCCGTCTAAACGCTGGGAATCCTGCTCCATTCCTCGATGCAGTAAGCAATGTTCTTGTCAACCTGAAACACAAAGTTGTGCCAAATGATTAGTTCATCATTTACTGGTCAATGTTTTCTTGTAGCAACTGAACCACCCACAATTGTACCGGAGCTTACCTGTGCAAGTGGAGAAGGTAGCTCCTACAGGGGCACCATTGCGGTGACAGTCTCAGGAAAAACTTGTCAGGAATGGTCATCCCAAAGTCCTCACAAGCATTCTAGAACTCCAGAGAACTACCCATGCAAGTAAGTATCAACATGATGGTTTTGAGGGACACTGACACTGTTGTTTTGGGGGTTCAAACTCTACACATGGAGGACCACCTTCGTGCAGAGTAACTAATCAAGATATTCAGGATTACTTGAAAATTACAGGCAGGTGTTTGAACAGCGTTAGAACTGAACTCTGCAGGACAAGGGCCTCCAGGAGCACTATGGCATGGTTACATCCCTTCAGCGTGAGACATTATCTTTTAAAGCACAAATGGAATATAGTCTATTTTGTGCATATTTTGACTGTGGTTTGTTATTTGTAGCCTTCCTGATAAGTACTTGGAAGAGAACCATTGCAGGAACCCCGATGGAGAGCCCAAGCCCTGGTGCTTTACCACTAGTCCGTCTAAACGCTGGGAATCCTGCTCCATTCCTCGATGCAGTAAGCAATGTTCTTGTCAACCTGAAACACAAAGTTGTGCCAAATGATTAGTTCATCATTTACTGGTCAATGTTTTCTTGTAGCAACTGAACCACCCACAATTGTACCGGAGCTTACCTGTGCAAGTGGAGAAGGTAGCTCCTACAGGGGCACCATTGCGGTGACAGTCTCAGGAAAAACTTGTCAGGAATGGTCATCCCAAAGTCCTCACAAGCATTCTAGAACTCCAGAGAACTACCCATGCAAGTAAGTATCAACATGATGGTTTTGAGGGACACTGACACTGTTGTTTTGGGGGTTCAAACTCTACACATGGAGGACCACCTTCGTGCAGAGTAACTAATCAAGATATTCAGGATTACTTGAAAATTACAGGCAGGTGTTTGAACAGCGTTAGAACTGAACTCTGCAGGACAAGGGCCTCCAGGAGCACTATGGCACACCTGAACTAGAACCGGAGGGTCCATTTCTGCTCCTGGAGGGCCACTGTCCTGCAGAGTTTAGCTCTCACCCCCATTTTAGCCTGAACGAGTTAATCTAAAGGTCTTCAGAATTACTAGAAACTTCCAGGCAAGTGCGTTGGAGCTAAACTCTGCAAGACAGGACCCTCCAGGAGCAGGATTTGACACAGTTGAAGTACCAAAGAGACAGACTCTTCAAAGTCTGAATTATCCTTTAGGGTAAAACAATAAAATTTTACTCGCTCCAGTATGCCAAACACAATACTGACTGCAGAGAGAATGCAATTAAAATTTGTTTTCATCCCAGAGG